CGGAAATTTACAAAGGAGTCCCTCCTTCCCTCTCTACCAGGAAGGACAAATGTTAGTCCCTGCAAACAACTCAAACCCTTACCATGAAAAGCAAGGACTTAAAGCTGTATAACAAGCCTTACTGCTGTTTACCCCACCTTTCCATGTACTCTCCACCAACTACACCTTTCTTTTTTCTGACTTTAGCTGAAGATGGTATTTGGCTGCAATTCTAAGCCACCTCTGAGAGTTACTCATTCTTCCCTGGTATTTCCCATCTATACCTGAGATACACATATCAATAAACTTCTGTTTTTCTCTTGTTAATCTGTCTTTTGAAACAGAGGTCTCAGCCAAGAACTGAGAATGGTAGAGGAGGAAATTATTTTTCTCCCCTACAGCAATTACTGTCAAATAGGAAATATTTGCCTTTGCATTTGTAAAAGTATCATTTCTATTTACTACTTACATAATACACAACAGCTCACAGATCCCTGGACAAGGGTGACCTTTGCATGGCTAATGTCTGAAGACTTCCCCAAAGGGAAGTCACACCCATCACCACACCTTCTGTGTCCAAATTGAGGGTAGAGGGAAAGAAAGTAACCACTTACAGAACCAAACTATCAATAAAACATTTGGGGGCTTCCCTGGTGGCGCAGTGGTTGAGAATCTGCCTGCCAATGCAGACGACACAGGTTCGAGCCCTGGTCTGGGAAGATCCCACATGCCATGGAGCAACTGGGCCCGTGAGCCACAATTACTGAGCCTGCGCGTCTGGAGCCTGTGCTCCGCAACAATAGAGGCCGCAATAGTGAGAGGCCTGCGCACCGCGATGAAGAGTGACCCCCACTTGCCACAACTAGAGAAAGCCCATGCACAGAAATGAAGACCCAACACAGCCATAAATAAATAAATAAATAAATACATTGTGTATAAAAAAAAAAAAAAAAACATTTGGAATCACTTGTGTCAGGGACAAAATGGAGACGGTCAACACGGACACAGAAAGGACACTTAACCTAACCTTGCAGAACGTACAGCTCTTCCTCAGAGGTCAGCAGAAGACCCCAGCCAAGCCCCACACACCAAGTCCGTCCAAGCCAGCTCTGGGCTTCCTGTTCCCCTAACTCAGCTACTCTGATACAAATAAGAAAGAAGAACACTAGGCAACCAAGTAGCTGAAAAAAACAAAAACTTCTGCATTTCTCCCATAAAACCCCTATTAATCTGTCAGCAACTTGGAACTTACTGCTCCCATAGTCTTGCGTTTCCAGGCTTGCAGGTAAAAATCCTGCAATAAGTTCATCTTTTTGCTTTGTTTTATTCAGAGTGCAGGTTTTGGGTTTTGCTATACTTTTTGGTTATACCCTATTGAGGTTTGGATACAAAGAAAATCAAAAGCGTAAAAATGACAAAGATTATTCCAAATCTTGTGTGGTAGCAACCTGCTGCTAGATTACATTCTCAACAACAAGAGAAGGACAACCTGCAGGCCAAACCTGGCCCACACCTGCTGTAGTAAGTAAACCTGATGGGAACACGGCCACCCCCAGGCCCAGTGGCTGCTCTCCTGCCACGGTGGCAGAGTCGAGTACAATGACAGAGACTGTACGGCAGCCTAGACTAAACTATTTACTGACCTCTTAAGGAAACAGGCTGCCAACCTGTGGTCAAGATAACAGTCATCGTGCCTGACTTTTAGTGCTTTCCCTAAAAAGATGAGCGTTTAAAGACCACGCCTTCACTATGCCCTGACCCCACTAACAAACGCAGGTTAGGTTTTGTTACTTTAAGCATTCTGTAAAATTTTCTGATCAAGGAACAAGAAAAAAATGATTCTTGAAATGAAATTTGAAGATAAAGAAAATTCTGGAACTGTCTCAAGTAATTAAGAAGAAGAAGGTAACTCAAAAATCTATACATCTTGACACAGCATAAGCCCTAAAGGACTTCCAACACAAGGTCAGGCAGACACTGTGAACACATTTCCAACACGAGGAGGCCCCAAGGAATAGGCGAATCCCCACAATGACACTGGGAGTCATCAGTGTCAGCATCCCCAGGTGGAAAGAACACTCGCCTCACGCCACCACCAAAAATCCAAAGAGCTGATTAAGTTAGTCTTAGCCTGAGGAACTTCCCACGCTGGGGAACCTGCTGCTTCCTAAGGCACCCTGTTCAATTTGCAGGTACGTTAGGACGCGTTTTCCTACACCGAGGTGAAATCTGCATAACTCTTATCATTCTCCCTGACCCTAACTCTTCTCTGAGGCTACTAAAAAACAAGTCACTTTACTTCCTGTGTCACAGCATACACAGCTCTTCAGATAATCCTGAGTTACTGATCCTCCGCCATAACTGTGTCTCAAGACCCCTTACCATACTTTCTCAAACCCCTTTCGTTTGCCTAAGTTGCTTTTCTCTCTCACTTTTTCATACTGTGGCTGGATCCCCCCTTTCAAGCCCTTTCAGTTAATACAACAGCAGCCACACTTCACACTCTGTTTACAGATTCTCAAACATTTTTCACACATGCTTGTTACATTCTACCTCCCGACCCTAATCCTACATTTGTGTCAGACTTGGCATAATATATATCCTTAAATCCAAACCATCATTCCAGCCTGCCAAGGTCTTCGTGGATCCTGATTTTTGTCTTTCAAACTGTACTTCCCAGCTGTTACCAACTGAAAATTCCATTAGCATATAGGAGGTCTGCGGTATTTCTATGGGTGAGACAGGTGCAAGTTTCCAGAGGGCCAAGATTTTGTCATTCTTCTGTGGATTCCCCGCAATACTTATTATTTTATATCTGATAAAAAGTAAACAATAAACAGGTCTGTAGGACTGAATCAACAGTGTTCGGTTCTCATGTGGCCCTACCAACCCTGGGTGACGCAGGTCCTACGGGGAGGAGAGCGCTCTAAAGTGGCTTCTCAGGACACGAGCTCGCAGTCCACTCTGCTGTCAGCAGCACTAGTCCGAGCCTCACGATTCTGTGGCTGGCTTAGAGCTTCTCAGTTACCCAATTCTTAGAGCTAATCACCCGACAACTGACACTTGGTTTTAGAACAATATATTTTATTTACAATAGGCTTTTCATCCTAAAATTACTTTACTCAGTAAAGTTGATATTAAGATTAATTTCTTACATGTTTCCTTAAGCAAACATTAACTGTTGATGGCAGAGGTAGAGAAATCAGATAAAATGTTGCTGCCATATCAGCAAAGGATGTTGCAGCCATCAAGCCACCACATTATAGCTGCCTGACAGTGAGCCCTGAGGGAACTCAGGACTGAAACAAATGGGCTGCCCACTGTCAAGTTCATCTAGCACAGCCACTGCAGCTCCCTCCCCCAACACGGTGCACCCTGAGAGGACTCAGGATGGAAAAGCACAGGATCTTGGCCCCAGATAGCTGAGGTACATATCAAAAGAATGATTTCAGTGAGCCCAGACTCTTGCATCTTCCCATATATAGAAAAGCACTAAATTCCTTAACATGAGATGCCTGGTTTTCTTTTCTTTTTTTTTTTTCGCGGTACGTGGGCCTCTCACCGCCGTGGCCTCTCCCGTTGCAGAGCACAGGCTCCGGACGTGCAGGCTCAGCGGCCATGGCTCACGGGCCCAGCCGCTCCGCGGCATGTGGGATCTTCCCGCACCGGGGCACGAACCCGTGTCCCCTGCATTGGCAGGCGGACTCCCAACCACTGCGCCACCAGGGAAGCCCCCAGGTTTTCTTATATTAACAGTAATCTTTTGATGTTCCCACTACCTGGTCTTTGTTGCAAAAACTCCTATAGATCCTCCCCCGCCTCTCTGGAGCTGTCCCTCAGAGCTATCTCAGATGCTGTGTCCCAGGCTCAAAGTACTAAGGAAGTCCACCAAATAACACATATCTCTCAACTTTTAGGTTGTGCTTTTTTTTCAGTTGACAAACTTGTACACAGCACTAGCTGAAGAGTTATTTACTAGTCTGATATCCCTTATTTATTAGTATAGTACTGAATTCTTTCCTGTTATTCCTGCCTGGCACTGAGTAAGCCCTCACTAAGTATTAGCTATTATTTTCCTAGCTATGTGAGCCCTAAAATACTCCTTGATGGCATACCATTCACCTAACCCACTCTCTTACTCCCTGTCCTATCTTAAACCCACATTTGTACTCGTTTTCCTAAGGCTTCACAATGAATTTAATAGATCCTCTGGTTGAGAGGCTCAGTTACATTATAGCAAAGTGTGCTCCCCGCCTTCACAACCCAGCCAGGGTTTACCTGGCCTCTTTCTTCTTTAGGATCACTCCAGGCCTCCACCAAATTTTTGTCAGATTAATTGTCAACTATCTAAAGCTTGCATCTAAAGCTCTCAACTAACCCTTCTGTCTCTGACCCCGCATTCCCCTACCTTACAGAGTCAGCAGAAAAAAATGACAATGTGAAGGAAACAGGCCAGTATAATTGAAAAATACTGAGGGGTCAAAAACAGGAAAGAGTTTCTGAAATTCAATCAGCTTCTAAAAGACATTTCTAAGAAAAAACATAATAGAAGGAAAAAAAAAAGACTTGGATTCAAAAGGACAATCTTCACAATGGCTACATAAGAAAGAAGGACATCACTCTGTGCTCCGTCCTGGTCTCTGAGGAATCCCAGCTAGTGGTCCAGGGATGAAAGAGCTGCAAGTCAGATGTTCCCCTTCCCTCTTTAAAACCAAACCAAAACAAAATTCATTCAACAGGGATGGCTGGGCTGAATAAAAATAAAAGTTTAATAACCATTATCACTTTTGACTGTGTTTAAAAAAAACTTGCGATGACCTTATAGGTCTTAACGTTGATGCCCATGTTTCCTCCTGCACATCCTCAAATTTCACCTTTGTAAATGGTAAAACTGGTTTATAAGTGTTCAGCACAGACAGATTTCCCAGTGAAAGAAAAGAAAAAGTAATGGCTTTCGATGGAAATGATTTCTCAGAGGTCTGGAGCTGTGTGACAGGCAAACAAAGGAGGACTCTGAATACCTGGTTGCTGATGTTAATGTCCCTGTTGGGATGACTGGCTGGCAAAGGACCACTTTCCATTTCAAGGTGTTTGAGCTTCTCTGAGGCATCTTTTAATGCTGAAAAAAAACGGGAAAACAGCCGCTTAGTCTGACAGGCTGTCACAGCCGTGTAACGGTGAAGACAGGCTTTCTCCACACCCCTCAACATCAGTTACCATCAATTACAGGTAATAACCCAGATCACTACGGAACAGATATTCTTTCCATCACCAAGAAACTCTCCATTAATTTGATTAAGAGCTAACCTAACTAGGAACATCACCCTGTATCTGCTCTGCTGGATGTGGAATCCCCATGGCATGTGTGGCTAAGAAAGCTCACAGTCATGAGAGTAGAGGAAAAGGCACAGAGCACCTGTGACACGGCCTTGCTTCCTAGGCACAAGCCAAGCTCCCCCCTGCAAAGCTCAGCACTCGGCTGTTTCCTTTCCTTGGCCCTGACTACACACAGCCTACAACTAAACTTACGTGGAGCAAACTGATGGAGGACACACATTTATGCACTTGCTGACTCAACCTATTACATACTGGTGATGTCAGGTGTGATGAAGGACAAGCGTTTTAGCTTCACTACATGCAAAACACATTGCACATAAAATCCTCCAACCACTGAAAGATGATACATTAAAGACAATTTAGCTTTAAATGAGTTCTATTTAACAACTGTTAGTTGTATTAATCTTATTTTGCAGGGACCAATTTGGTGGGGGTTTGAATTTTTACATTGTCCACTTGACAAACAAGCTGTTGAACGCCTAATAATTTCTATATAATCAGGTAGAAGAAAGGAGGGAAAAACTACGAAATCATTTGCTCTTGGTCAAAGGGATCTTCCAAAAGTGTCCATCAGTTAATTCTGTACATCTTTCCCTTGGCTACACATTAGAATAAGATGTGGAATTTTTAAGAAATACTGATTCCCAGAGCTGACGCTAGAACAATGATATCAGATTTCTGAATGTAATTTTCTGGTATTGGTAGTTTTAAAAATTCTCCAGGTGATTCTTCTTTAAAATAACTGTGCTTATTTATTTATTTTTGGCTGCATTGGGCCTTCATTTCTGTGTGTGGGGGCTACTCTTCGTTGCGGTGCGTGGGCTTCTCACTGCGGTGGCTCCTCTTGTTCCGGAGCACTGGCTCCAGGAGTGTGGGCTTCAGTAGTTGTGGCACGCGGGCTCAGGAGTTGTGGCTTGCGAGCTCTAGAGTGCAGGCTCAGTAGTTGTGGCGCACGGGCTTAGCTGCTCCGCGGCACGTGGGATCTTCCTGGAACCCGTGTCTCCTGCACTGGCAGGCGGATTCTCAACCACTGCACCACCAGGGAAGCCCCAGAACAAATTTTTAATTCCAGTTACCAGCAGTACGTCAGCATGTTCTATGAAGCAGAAGCACTGTGCAACTTTTCATTAATGCTTCTTTCTAAATTACTAAATACTACCGCTATATCCTACACTCCTCAGAGACAACAGCATACTCACTGGCAATTTCCAATAAGTTGTTTAAAGAGAGTGTCTTAATTTTAGCAACAGAAATCAAAATTGGCAAGAGCCACATAAGCATAAGCTGCTTTTAAATGAACACACACTGAGATTCAACAGAAAGCTCCTGTTTAAAGACAGTTTATGCTTTAATATCAAATCAAACTCACAAGTATATAGAAATTTTCAATGTGCAATTTACTGTTTCCTTTTAACCTTCTAAAAAGTTAAGGAAAGCAGCGTTCTTTCTGGATTATTTATTTTTGTGGGTCTGGGCAACAACAGCCCTCATTAATAACAAAATACTATCTGTGAACTAATGGAATGTCCAAACATTCATTCAATCCTGTGCCCTAGATCTCTAAGGAAACTTTTTACTCTTAATTTTCACTCAAGAAACAAAGTAAAAAGCAAATTTGAAAATTCAAAAACGTTTAAGAACTTAAAAATGATACAAATGTTTAATGGTCTCAATTATGTGATCTTAAATATTTCAATGGACCCTTAAACCAAAAAGGCAAGAAGGCATAACTATTCTACAGTAACATTTCAAATCCAACCACTGCATAAAATATTCTTAGAGGAACTGCCTTAAACAGCTCATTTCAAAGGCGGGCAGACTAGGGCGATGCCAGTGATGTTACACAGAACGTTTAGTTACTCCTCACTCACCTTCCAGCCCCTCTAATCCAGCCTGCCTGGTGGCTGTGCTCACTTCACCTGGGGCTTGGGACATGGCCATGGTGTCAGGTGCCCCAACTACATCATCAATGGTTGTTTCCAGTAAGTCTGGACTATCTAGCAAATCAATCTTCAGAGGCAAGCTATAAAGGTAAGAGAAAACTTAATTAAACCAAGAAGTTTATCAGGAAAAGAATTTTAAATACTAACAAAAAATCTCTGCTGGAAAAATAATTCATTTAATAGTTTGGATCCCAAGTAGTTTATTCATCTGTCAAAACCCTCTGGGCAGATTCTCTTCCATCCAAGATGGAGTAAAAGGAACTGAATTTAGCTTCCCAACTGAAATAACCTAAGGGGAAAACAAACAATTTTCAAGACGTAAGACCTCAAAGAACAGAAGGCAGTGATCCTGAGCTTTGGAAAACAAATGAGGAGCCCTGTGCTTGACCTGAGGGAGTCCCCGGGCTGGGGTGCAGAGAGAGTGCAGTGCGGCAGAGCACAGAGGCCTCCCTTGGCTGACAGCGCAGGGAGACCAAGGCAAGCCAGAGTTCACAGCACAGGCTACCAGACAGAAGAGAGCAGCCCTGCAAGGAGAGAATCCTACAGGTCTGCAGAGGCCCCCCTCAAGTATGCAGGAGAGCACTGATCAGGGAACATGTGTAAGGAAACTCCCTGAGGCTGGGAAAGAACTAGTGGCACTCACACTGTGCCCCCTCCACAGACAGCATGTAAAAACATGTAATTCAAGGGCATTTAGTATTAGGAAGATCCTGCCTCTGTAGTAGAGAATAATTAACCCAGACTGACCATGGCAACAAACCCACTTAACACATCATAAAAGACCTGAAAGGATCAAACTGCTTCCAAGTAACTTAACTGCATCCCAAGACAAAGCTCAAGAAGACTGAGAGGAAGACAAAATGATCTGGCATCCAACAAAGTAAATTTCACATGTCAGGCACCCAGTCAAAGATGGTCAGGAATGCAAGAAGGCAGAAAAAGACATCTCAAACGAAAGAGAGTAATCAGTCAAGAGAAACTGACACAGATACTAGAATTAGCAGACAAAGACACATTGTTATTGTAACTGTATTCCACATCCTCAAAACTTAAGCAGAAACCAGAAGATACAAAAAAGACCCAAACCAAACTTCTAGAGATGGAAACCACAATATCTGAGATGAAAAATATACTGGATGAGATGGACAGCAGATTAGATTTTAGAAAAGATACTGAACTTAATGGCATAGCAATAGAAACTATCCAAAATAAAAGACACAGGGAAAAAGGAAATCTGCCAAATTAAAAGAATGTCAGTTATTCTTTGTGGGACAACTTCAAGCAACCTACTGTATGAATAACTGGAGTCCCACAGTGCGGGTGGGACAGAACAAATATCTGAAGAAAACAATGGCTGATGTGTTTACAAATCCGATGAAAACTATAAACCCACAGATCCAAGAATTTCAGGAAACCCTAAACACAAGAAACATGAAGAAAACTACACCAAAGCATATCGTAACCACACTGTCTAAAGCCAATGATGAAAAGAAAAACTTAAAAGCAGCCAAAACATTATATGTTCAAAGGAGTAAGATAAGGATGACAGCAAGCCAAAGCAATCTTTTATTTTTTAAATTATTAACCTATTTTATATATATTAGTGTATACATGTCAATCCCAATCTCTCAATTCATCCCATCACCACCCCCACCCTCACCCCGCTTCCCCCCCTTGATGTCCATAAGGTTAAAGCAATCTAGAGAAAGAAAAACGAAGCTGGAAGAATCAGGCTCCCTGACTTCAGACTATACTACAAAGCTATGGTCATCAAAACAGTATGTTACTGGCATAAAAACAGAAATATAGATCAAGGGAACAGGATAGAAAGCCCAGAAATAAACCCTATGGTCAATTATCTAAAACAAAGGAGGCAAGAGTACACAATGGTGGAAAGACAGTTTCTTCAACAAATAGTGCTGGGAAAACTGGACAGCTACACGTACAAAACTGAAATTAGATAATTCTTTAACACCATACACAAAAATAAGCTCAAAATGGATTAAAGACCTAAATGTGAGACCGGATACTATAAAACTCCTGGAGGAAAACATAGGCAGAACACTCTCTGACATAAATCGCAGCAATATCTTTTTTGATCTGTCTCCCAGAGTGATGGAAATAAAAACAAAAATAAACAAATGGAACCTAATTAAACTCAAAAGCTTTTGCACAGCAAAGGAAACCATAAACAAAATGAAAAGACAACCCACAGGTTGGGAGAAAATATTTGCAAATGATGTGACCAAAAAGGGATTAGTCTCCAAACTTTACAAACATCTCAAGAGGCTTAATATCATAAAAAAAAACAACACAATCAAAAAATGGGCAGAAGACCTAAACAGACACTTCTCCAAAGAAGACACACAGATGGCCAAGAGGCAAATGAAAAGACGTTCAACATTGCTAATTATTAGAGAAATGCAAATCAAAACTACAATGAGGTATCACCTCACACCAGTCAAAATGGCTATCATCAAAAAATCCACAAACAGTATAAATGCTGGAGAGGGTGTGGAGAAAAGGGAACCCTCTTGCGCTGCTGATGGGAATGTAAATTGATACGGCCACTATGGAGAACTACCATATGACCCAGCAATCCCACTCCCGGGAATATATGCAGAAAAAATGTGGTCTGAAAGGATACATGCACCCCAATGTTCACTGCAGCACTGTTTACAACAGCTAATACATGGAAGAAACCTAAATATCCATCAGCAGAGGAGTGGATAAAGAAGATGTACATATGTACAATGGAATATTACTCAGCCATCAAAAAGAATGAAATAATGCCATTTGCAGCAACATGGATGGACCTAGAGATTGTCACACTGAGTGAAGTAAGTCAGACAGAGAAAGAGAAATATCGTATGATACCCCTTATATGCAGAATCTAAAAAGAAATGATACAAATGAACTTATTTACAAAAACAGAAAGAGACTCACAGATTTGGAGAATAAAGGGAGGTAACCGGGGGGAAGGATAGGGGGAGGAGACAGGGAGTATGGGACTGACGTGTACACACTGCTATATTTAAAATGGATAACCAACAAGGACCCACTGTATAGCACAGGGAACTCTGATCAATGTTATGTGGTAGCCTGGATGGAAGGGGACTTTGCGGGGAGAATGGATACATGTATATGTATGGCTGAGTTGCTTGCTGTGCACCTGAAAATATCACAACATTGTTAATCAGCTATATTCCAATATAAAATAAAAAGTTTAAAAAAGAAAAAAGGATGACAGCAGATTTCTTATCAGAAATAATGCAAACTAGAGGACAGTGGAGGAGTATCTTAAAAGCGCTGAAAGAAAAAAGCGTATCAACCCAAATTTTATATCCAGCCAAAAAGCTTTCAAAAATAAAGGAAAATCTATGTACATACGAAATAAAAGTGAAAACAAACATCCACATAAAAATGTATACACAAATGTTCATGGCACCATTATTCATAACAGCCAAAAACATGGAAACAACCCAAATGCCCATCAACTGAGGAATAGATAAATAAAATGTGGTATATCCACAGAGTGGCATAATAACCAGCAATAAAAGGAGTGAAGTACTGATACATGCTAGGACCCTTGAAAACATAATGCTAAGGGGAAAAAGCCAGACACAAAATGCCACATATCGTATGAGTCCATCTGTATGAAATGTCCAGAACAGGCAAATCCACAGACGCAGAAAGTAGATCTGTGGTCGCCAGGGGCTGGAGAAGAAACGGGACTGACTGCTGTGGTGTAAGGTCTGAAGTTAAGATTCAACAGTACGGGCTGCCTGCACATCCCTGAGCCTCATGGGGCCCCAAAGGCCCAACCACCATGAGTTTCCCGGCTCTCACCAGATATGCCCTCCCAGTGAAAAAGGTTCCCCTCAACTGTACCAGCCCCATCCTGCCATGTTCCTAACCTCACAACCTTCACTTCTCTGCCAGCCCGTGAAACTGTTCAGACGAGCCAATCACGTCCCCTCATGGGAACCAGGGTGGCTCATTCTCATGTCCCTATAAAGCCCGCCTCCCAAAGTCCATGTTTGTCCACTCTGCTCCCAAGCGCAACACGTACGAGGCCCCTCTATTGTGGGGTTTCCTCCTCCCCTGAGCCACGAGTATGTGTCTAATAAACTGCTGTTTGTCTCACCTGTCCAGGGCTGGGCGTTGTGTGTTGGCCATCTTGTAGTATTTAGGGTGGGGGATCCCTCCCTCACCAAAAGTGTGAATAGGGGAGGAGCAGAACAACTAATAATGGGGATGGCGTTTCTTTGGGGGAGGGGTAAAACCATTCTAGAGTAAAACTGTAATAAAGGTGGCACAATTCTATCAATGTGCTAAAAACACTGAATTGTCCACTTTGAATATGTAAATGGTATGGTACGTGAATTATATCTTAATAAAGAAAAAAAGAAAGACAAATAAAAGGAATTCATGACAAAAAGACCAGCACTAAAAATTGCTAAAGGAAGACCTACAGGCAGAAGTAAAACAAACAACGTATTGTGGGGTATAAAACACAGATGGAAATAAAATGCTTGACAAATGACAGTACAAAGCCTGGGAGGGGAGAAATGGAAGTACACTACTGTCAAGTTCTTATATGACACATGAAATGGTATAATATCCCGTGAAAGCAGACTGTGATAAGTGAAAGTTGTACAGGCTAAAGTAACAAAGTGAAAAAAAAAAAATCCAAAGAGTTATAGCTAAGGAGTAAGAAAAGGATATAAATGGAATTTTAAAAAAAACACCTGATTAATGAAAAAAAGAGAGAGGAAGATGGGAACAAGAAACATATGGGACAAATAGGAAACAAATAGCAGGATGATAGACACAATTATATCAATAATCATATTAAAAGGAAGTAGTATAAACATACCATTTAAAAAAAAATTCAGTCTCTGTAGAGACTGTCAAAAATTGCCAATGCTGACTGTATTTCAAGTCATCACGGCAGGGTATTTGGAAGTTTTCAATTAGCAATAATCATGCCTCGGA